AAATAAAAAAAGTATGTAAATTATATCTCAATAAAGCTTTTAAAAAAAAATACACTATATAGATTCAAAATCCAGTAGTCCAGAGTCTTTAAGAATACAAACAGAAGACTAGGCATGGTGGCATGTGCTTGCAATCCCCAGCTCTTAGGAGGCTGTAAACAGGCAGATCACTATGAGTCTGATCTAGTAGTGGGACCCTGAACACCCTGTAAACCCTTCCCTAAAATACAAAAACAAAACAAACCAAAAAAACCCCCACACAACCATAAATAAAAATGACTGAATTTTAAAAATACATGAAAATAATAGCAACTACATCATCATATTTTTCGAAAAATAATTTGTAAATCGAGATCCTAAGATCAGTAAAGGAGATATAGCATAATTTAAAAGGCAAGACATTCCAAAGTGTGAACATGTAGAAACCCTTTGTTTCTTTTTACATAAAGTATGTATTTTCTTTTCTTTTTTTTTTTTTGGCGGAACCGGGGATTGAACTCAGGCCCTTCCGCTTGCCAGGGAAGCGCTTATTTCACTGAGCTATCTCCCTGGCCCCTAGATGTATGTATTTTCAAATGAAAAAGCAAACATACTGCTGTTATTTACCTAGAATACATAAAGTCAAGTCAATTCTACACTAGCTTGGTTTTCAAGAAAAGTAATGACACAAGCTAATCATTCAGGTGAAGGTGTTCACAAATTCACCTCGTTATACACCGAAGATATTTTTTGCTCAAATAGTGATTTTTTTTTTTTTCCCTAGAAAAACTAGCACATCTTTGAATGTGAAGAAAGAGGTTATCTGTGCTTTATACTTACATCTGTCAAAGTCAAAGGCTGGCTGTAAACTGGCACAAAGAAAAGCTTGACAGCTGGAGCACTTAAGCATGTCACACTCAACTGTGACCCAACCATATTTTGCACACACAAGAGGGCTCAGCTCATGGGGCTTCCCTGCCCATTTCAAAGAGTGTTCATGTTAAGAAAAACAACACTGCAAGTATATTTAAATGAATAAGTCAGAATGAAAACTTTAACTCATTGTTAATGCATTTGGGATAAACACATTAAAGAGGTAAGAAAAATTATAAAGACTTTTTACAGCGCAGATAGACACATGCTTTACAGAATCATGGTCATCTGAGTAATAAGCAGTGAAAAAGTTATTAACTTTTTCTCAAGGGAACACTATATTTCACATGATTCAAAGTTTATTCTGTAGCACACCTGTAGCCCTAGCTACTCAGAAAGCTAAGGAAAACCACTTGTCTTGAGATTGTCATGGACAACACAATGAAACCTCATCTCAAAAAAAACTCACTACTGGTGATGGGATGCAACATAGAAGCCATGCACTATTATTTAACCTGAAACACTAGGTACTTAAAACACACTAATGAACACATTATGATAAGCCTAATCAACAGAAGTGGAAATTCTTAAGTTAGAACCATCTCATAGAAAATAAGGAAAATATTCACACGTAGAAGTTGGGACTGGAAAAAAAAAAAAAAAAAAAAGTTGGGACTATTTCCTGCTACTTGTGCCTACTTTCCCTTTGTACCATATCTACCTTTACCTTTACTTTTCAAAGAATAAAAGTCATAAAATTAGTATTCATCTCCCCAAGTTAACTGTTATATAATAGCAGGTATGTACAGATGTACACGTCTTAAACAGCTGAGAGTAGCCAAAAATGTATTTAAATGTTTACTGATCCTTATTACTGATTCTTCTTTATTTATTTTTTTGTAATTGGTGCTAGGCATTGAACCCAGGACTGTCACACAGTTATATCCCTAGTCTTTTTTAAAATTTTTACTTTTAGTTTTGATATGAGGTCTGGCTCAGTCAAGTTGCCTAGGCTACACTGCCCCAGCCTCTTAAGTGCTGGGATTACTGGGTGCACAAGGTGTGTGTGTGCGTGTCTTAATATCTTACCCAATAAGCTCCTTTTTTTTTTTTTTTTTGCGGAGCCAGGGATTGGAGCTCTTATTTTATATAGCACAAAGATGGAAAAAAAGGATAAAGCTAGAAAGTTCTGTATTTTTATAAAGGATATAGAAATTTGGAAAAACCTGTATCAGCAAAAGAAGGAAGATTAGATAACAGAATTTAGATACAAATGTTAAAGGAACTTAGGTTATCTAGAATAAAAGTTACAGAATCACTTAACAAGGTCAAGTTAAGTAAATGATCAACAAAAATAAAAAATAAATGATCACCATGTTCAGAGGTGATCAATTTACAGCACATAAGAGCAAAAGGAAATGGATCTAAATACCGTATTGAAATTGAATTGAATCCAAAGAACTGCAGGTTAGTTAAAATACCTTGTCCTTCTTGAGCACATTAAAGTCACTGAGTAGTGAATAGGGACGATGTCTGTGCCAGGATAACGTGGAGAGGCCACACAATGCAGCCTGAATCCAAGTAGAGTGAAAAAGGAAACAACATAGAAGGGTAGTCCATGCTAGGGGTGTCAAAGCAAAATGAGATGTAAAAGACATCCATATAGATCAGGGCTGGGGAGATACCTCAGTAATACAAGTGCCTGCCTGGCAAGTACAAGGTCCTGAGTTCGATCCCTGGTACAGGAAAAAAAAAAAGACCTCCACATAGGCAAGTTCTGTGTGGAGTGCCAGGGTCTGAATGGAATAAAGGGCTGTGATCCCACACTCTGTGAGGTTGAATCAAGAGTATCACAAGTTTGAGGTCAGACCCGCAGAGCTGCATTGACTACTAGATTTATTTTTTAAACTAGAAAATGTTTTAAATTTATAATTCCATATTTATAATGTTGGCCACAACATTATGATTATTCCTTGTCTGTACTTTAGTATTTTTCACCATTTGTGAAGAAACATTAAAACAAGTTAAATGGAAAAAAAAAAAAAAAAAAACAAGTTTGAGGTCAGAGTGGGCAATAGGGTGACTTAGCAAGAGCCTGTCTTAAAATAACATTTTTTTAAAAAAGGGGCATTAATGTGGCTCAGTATAAATATCCTGAGTTCAAACCCTAAATACCGTGAAAAAGAAAAGGTTATTCATGCAGAAGGAGACAGCAGCAAAGCAAAATGAAAGAGTGTGTGCATACAGGGAGACTGATGAAACTGTATTAAGGATAAAAAGAATTGGGCTTTACAATGTTGAGTAAAGATAAGACAGTATGGAAAGAGAGGCAATAAGAATGAATTCTGTGGTGCAGAACAACAATTACAAGTGCCAGCAGGTAGTCATATAGTTCTTTAAATACAGAGATTAATATAGAAACACATGTAGACATACACAGGTGTACAGTTGGCTTTTCTAATTGGTAGGGTCTGTATCTGCAAGTGTAGCTAGCCATAAATTTAAGAGTTTTTGTTTTGTTTCCCAAAGAATCCACCTGAGTGCTGAGGCTATAACTAAATGATAGAATACTTGCCTGGTATAAGTAAGACACTGATTTTAATCACTCCATAGCCCAGGCTGGTCTCAAACTGATCATGATCCTCCTGTTTCTACTTCCTGAAGGCTGAGATTACAGGAATGTACCACCACACCCAGCCCATACAGATTTTTTTGCTCATTAATATTCCCAAATAGCACTTACACTGTATGTGATACTATATGTAAATAATCTAGAGATGTCTTAAATTATACAGGAGAGTATATGTAGGGCCTATGTAAGTACTATCCCATTTTTTATAGGAAACTTCAATAACCAGGGATTTGGGCATCCACAGGGGTCCTGAAGCCAATCCCCCCATGGATACCAAGGTATAATTCTTCATGTACACATCAATGTAGGTCCACATACATATGCATATGTGACTATATATCTATACATACAGCATTCCCTAATTCCCTAGCTTTTCCCTCTAAGGGTACCCAACAGCCAGGAGCTACAAGTTCACACTGTAACACCCCACAGATCTTGGCTTTGTATCCTGCCCAGCTCAGTACTAGAAACTGAACCCAGGGCCTTCACCCTGTTATATTCCCAGGTCTTTTTTAAGACAAGGTCAGCTAAGTAGCTAAACTGCCCAGGATAGAATACAATTTGGGATCCTCCTACCTTAGCCCCCTAGAATAGTGGGGTTATAGGTAGGATCCTGACCTTTAAATAGCATTCTAGAGCCAGGTATGGTGACATATCCCTGTAGTATCAGCACTTGGAAGGGTGAGGCAGGAGGGCAGCCACAAACTTGAGGCCATCCTAGGCTATGCAGTAAGTTCAAGGTTGAGACCCTGTCTCAAAACACTAAGAAAAAAAGAAAAAAAAAAAAAGACACAGAAGTCACTTGAAGAGGATCTCACTGACTACTGAGGGACAACTGGAGCATAGTAATGGATTGTAATCCACTGAACTAAAAAAAAGGAAGCATGTCCCAGTGATCCTACAAATATGTAAATAAGAATATAAAATTTGATGAATGGGAGTAATAGTTTTAGAGGATGAGCCAGCCAAAAAAAAAAAAAAAAAAAATCCTTCTGAACTTTAGTCAGGCTCAGGATGCTTTGGTTCGATCCCCAGATCCTCATGCTTTACCAGACCTGCCCTTATGGCATCCTGGGCCAGCCAAAAAAAAAAAAAAAAAAAAAATCCTTCAGTTTTAGAGGACTTGCTGATGGTGTGGTTTTTATTACAAAGGAGTTATTGTATAGTGAAATATCTATAGTTATTTCATTGTCAATATTCCCTTCACCATAAAGAGATAACCCTTAATAAATGCCACCTATTAGATACATGAACATACAGCATCACTTCATGATCCTCCTGCATAGCCTGAACCTATCAGAAAGAAATACCAGACAAAGGTGAGTTGAAATATGGCCTATACTTTGCTTAGCTCTTCAAAGGTGACATGATGATGCAATAAAAGCAAAAACCCACCTGAGTAAATGTTCTAAATTATAGGAGGCTAAAGCAATATGGCAACAAAATGCAATGATTATCAACAAGATCTTTTCTAATTTTTCTTTATCCTTTTATTTATATATTTGGTACAGGGTCTCACTACACAGCTCAGACTTGTAGTGATCCTCCTGTCACAGCCTCCCCACTGCTGGGATTATAGGAGTATGCCACCACACCTGGTTTCAGTGGCTGGCATCGCACAGGTTCCAGGGCCTATACAACATGTGGTACCAGGAATCAAATTCAGGTCCTTGTGCTTGTTAGGCAGGCACTTAGACTGCTGAGCTATCACCCCAGCCCAACAAGATCTTCTTTGCGACAAAAAACATTATTAGTTCAACTAATTAAAAAAAACTGGAAATTGAGGATTAGATGGTAATAATTTATCATTGTCAATATGCTGGTTTATCTTTTGGAGGTATAAAACATTGAACCCAGTGTCTCAAGTACACAAGTGATCTACCATTGAAGTACATCCTTGACCTTTTTTACTTTGAAAGAGGGTATCATTAAAATTGCCCAAGCTGTCCTCAAACTTGCCTCAGCCTCTCAATTAGCTGGGATTACAAGTATGAGATAATATCTGGCAATTTTATGATTTTGATTGTTGCTTTGAGTATGAAGAAGAAAGTCTTTGTGAGAAATATTTGGGAGCAATGAAACATCACTTCGGCAACTTATCTGCAAATAACACACACACACAAAATAATAATAACTTTGTAAACTTTCTACAGGTATGAATACTCAGCCCCTGTATCCTCAGGTTCTCCTTCAACGAACCAAGGACACCAAAAATACTTTTAGGGTTGGGGATTTAGCTCAGTGGTAGAGTACTTGCCCTAGGATATGTGAGGCCCTAGGTTCAGCCCTTAGTACTGCACACACACAAATAAACAATTTTGCAAAATGGCATCTGTACTGAACACAGACTTTTCTCTAGTCATTACTCCCTAAATAAAAAAGTATAACAACTATATAGCATTTACATTGTATTACAAGTAATCTAGGAATGATTTAAAGTATATAGGACAGGGGCTGGTGAGATGGCTCAGTGGTCTAAAGCACCTACTTAAAACAAGCTAAGCTAAGCAAAGCACAGGGACAGTGGTTCAATCCCCTAGCACCACATGCCAGCCAGCCCCGCCCCTTGGTGGGCTGAGCTGGCCACACACACACACACAGAAATAAATAAATAAATTTAAAAAATAAATAAATAAAGTATATAGGACAATATGCATAATTTATATGTAAACACTACACATTTCATATAGAGGACTTGAACTTGAAAATATCCCCAAGGAAACTTAAGCTACTTTCTCTTAGATTTTTTTTTCTTTGATGGAATCGGGGATTGAACTCAGGCGCTTGCGCTTGCCAGCCCCAGGGAAACTTAAGGACAGTTATTTATTTAATTTAATTTATTATTATTATTATTATTATTTTGGCAGAACACGGGATTGAACTCAGACTCTTGCGTTTGCCAGGGATGCGCTTATTCTACTGAGCTATCTCCCCGACCCCTATGTATTTAATTTTTGAGAGATAATATACCATGATGCTAATTTTCCTATAAAAGTTCTTATCAAGTTTGACTCTTCAGTGTAGTACAGTAGAATAAGAGGTGTAATGCCTAAAAATTAACAATTCCAGGCACAGGTAGAATGCACAAATTATATGAACTGAAAAAGGATATAGAAAATGTTTCTACTCTGCTAAAGAAGGCTTCTTTGCTTGTAGACTCCAGTGGTAGTTGCTCTGGTTGGGGAGATCCATTAAGTGGCTGGAATGTGGCAGGCATGTCCTTTCTAAAATAAAGTGGAAGAACAGTTGGTAACTTTTCATGATATGACTCTGCTTAAATGTTTTATAGCTAGCTTCTCTTTAGATCATATTCTCAGACCAAAAACTGAATTTTAAGTTTCTTAAAAATAACTTTAGTCACATCATTCCTCTGCTTAACATTTTAATGGGTTTCAAAATACTTACTAAATAGAATCCAAATTTTCCAATCTAGCACTCCTAATTCAATAGTTGAGGCTTTTTTTGGGGGGGGGGTACTGGGATCAAACTTAGAACTTTGTGCTTTCAATAGTTTAAAAACTAAATTCCTATCTCTGCTTCAGACAATTTGTATCTTTGTAATGCTCCATTAATACCAAACTATTTTCTAGCTTACTCTGTCCTTCAACTATATTTTACTTTAGTAAACTAAAAATAAGACAGTTTAAATTACTTCAGAAACTTAGTGCCTCTATCAGCAGAAAAAACAACTTACATTACTACCTGGATGGACCATAGATACTCCTTTCAAAGAGAACCAATTAAAAAAGAATCAAATCACAGTAAAGATCCTTAGATTTCATGAAAAAAATTACGGGAAGGAAAACAAAGTAGTCAAACAATTCTTTCATCTTCAGTGAAAGGCATTCTTTTCTTTTCCTGAGACAGGGTCCCACAACATAGCCCAAGCTGGGCTGGAACTTGAGGCAATCCTGCCTCAGTCTGGGAAAAATATATAGGGGTTGGCCACCATGTCCAGCTGTGAAAGGCATTTCAACAGCATTAGGGGAATGAAGATTTTTTTTTTTTTGGCGGGGGGGGGAGACTGGGCATTGAACTCAGAACCTTGCACTTGCCAGGTAAGCACTTATTCTACTGAGCCATCTCTCGGGCCAACTGAATGAAGACTGACTGGGGCTTGGAAATGCTGAGAGAAAAAATATTTTCTTAATAGAATAACTTTACACTAATAATTTTGGCTTGAAAGAAATATATTTTTTTTTCTTCTAAGAATTCTCAGATCCAGAGAAAGATGTGGTTCTTGAAAAAAAACTTAGGGGGCTGGGAGATGGCTCAGTGGAATAAGCACTTCCCTGGCAAGCACAAGGACCTGAGTTCAATCCCCAGTTCCGCCAAAAAAAAGAAAAGAAAAAAACCCCTGACCACCCACAAATTTGAATGAGACTAAAATGGTAATTGATTAGCCAATCTGAGATGCAGTATTTCTTCAATGATGAAGGCTTAATTAAATTTCACTGTCCAGGCCTGATGGCACCCCAGCATTGGGAGGCTGTGGCATGAGGATTATTGAAAGTTTGCTATCAGCCTGGGCTACAAAGTAAGCTGAAGGCCAGTCTGAACTGCATCGTGAAACATCGTCTCAAAAAGACAAAACAAACAAATTCAGTGTAGTATAAACACTATCTGTGAATTTGTCACAAAATGGATATAATTTTTGTCACCAAAGGAAATTTATTCACATTACGGTTGTTGGGTATGTTTTGAAATACTATTTGCATTCAACACTACTTGAAAATTGCGATAGTATATATGCTAGGTATTACTTAACTCTAATAAAAACGCACGTTCTTGTATAATTTTTTTTTTCTCTTTTACCATCTTAACTACTTTCTAAAGTAACTGGCTTCATGTACAATCTCCCGATTGTAATCCCAATTATTTGGGAGTCTAAGAAAGAAGGAAGATGAGTTCGAGACCAATCTGGGTAATGTAATGAAGCCCTAGCTTTCAAAAAAGAATAAAAAATCCTACGTGGTCTGCTGTATGAATCTAAAAACATTTCAAAGAAAAAGGGCTCATAAGCTTTACCAGACTACCGAAGGGGATCTCCGGAGCAAAAATGTTAGGGTCCCCAACTAAAAGCGGGGCCGGGGATACAGCTCAGCAGCACCAGCGCCTGCCTGCGTTCGCTTCCCAGTACCAAAAACAAAGTTAAGAATTTATTCACTTAATGGTTCTTCTTCCTCGAAAAAAGTCTTAGGGCAAAAATCAGCCTGTGGTGCTGAATCAAGTAAATCCTGAGAAAGTCAAAGCCCACCAGTCATAGTAATCGCTTTCGAAATGCAGTAAGTCATCCCCACTGGCAAAATCGCCAACTGAGCGGCCGCCCTGCAGCCCCTCTTCTCGCTCCCGGCCTAGTTTCCTGCCCTCTCCAATCTTCCAGAGGCCAGACCCAGGGAACACAGGAGAACTCACGCTTCTGCGCCTCCCTCTTCCGGGGCAATCCCCTCATCTATCAACTGCCGGACTTTTTGGGGTGTTCCTTCTGGAGACCGCACAACACCCCAATTCTTTTCAGCCCCTGCGGCAAACGCCGGCCCCTCACTGGGCGCCGCCATCTTGGTCCGTTGGTGAGTTGTGTCCCCGCGGGTTTGAAGTCTTGGAACTTCCGTTCTGGGCGGTTAACATCCGCCTCTCTGGGCAACTTCAAGGTGCAAGAGTCTGGCTGGTTTCTGATTCTACTCCCCGCCCCCGACCCCCCGTTTTCCCTCTCCTTAACCAATTTAAACTCATTGCTAATTTTTATCATCATTTCTTGGCAACATTTAAATGTGGGTTGGGATTAAGAAATTGTTAACTTTGTTACATATGATAATGGCATTTCATTTGTTGTCTAAGACAGGGTCTCCCTACATAGTCCTGCCAGTTTTGTACTCACTATGTAGCTCAGGCTGGCCTTGCGTTTGTGGTGATCCTCTTGCTTCAGTCTCCTGAATGCTGGGATTACAGGCCTGTGCCACCATGTCACTGATTTTTGTTTTTGACTGAGTCAGGGTCTCACTATGTGGTCCATACCAGCCTTGAACTTACCAAATAAATAGCCTAGGCTGATTTTAAGCTTGTGATCCTCCTGCCGCCTTCTGAGAGCTGATACTGCAGGCATGTGCCAACACCTGGCTTGTGGATATGGTTTTTAAAAGTATTGAGATACATCCATATATATGCAGGATGGCTGGGATGATTGTACTCATAACTTGCACCAGTTTTTTTTAAATAGCAGTTAATGTTTAGAATTTTCACTTTGACTGTGTGCTGATATCAGTGATCTGAGCAACTACATCGAGGACAGCAATGTGTAATACAAAACCCATGGTTGAATACCTCTCATCTTGGTCTTCTAAATGTGCACCGTTTCTAATGTCTTATCAATTATTATACTCTTATAATAAAACAAAAAATTGATTTTTGTTTTCGTTTTATGTATTTGGTACAGGGTGTCACTAAGCAGCTCTGACTTGTGGTGATCCTCCTGTTTTCAGCCTCCCCAGCGCCAGGATTACAGGCATGTGTCACCACACTCAGACTCAGTCACTGGTTTAGCGTGCCCCAGGGACGGGGACAGCGTACCGTTCGGGATCTGGGTTCAAACCCTGACCCCTAAGCTTGTCAAGCAGGCACTTAGTCCACTGAGCTATCTCACCAGCCCCAAGATTTCTTGAAAGCAAACATCAATATTCAAGTATTGGGGCTGGTGAGATGGCTCAGTGGTCTAAAAGCACCTACTTAGAACAAGCTTAGCAAAGCACAGGGACCGCGGTTCAATCCCCCAGCACCACATGCCAGCCAGCCCCACCCCCTGGTGGGCTGAGCTGGCCACACACACACACACACACACACACACATAAATAAATAAATAAATAAAATTTAAAAAAAATTCAAGTATTTCCCCAATCTTGCATAACTGTATCTGTTAATCTGAGCAACAGATTGGACGATAAAAATAGACAATACAAATCTTTTATGGTTAAAACTTCAATAGAAACAATCTTGGACAAGCAGGAAGAGCACCGATTTGGAAGCTTGCAGCAACACAGGACTGCGTGAGTCCCCAGGGCAGCTGTGCACCTCTCCTGGGCCCTGTGTGGCAGCAGGTGTGGGTGACCTGCCCCAGCACAGGCCACTGTGGCTCTGCACAAGGCTGGGGCATGCCCACTCCATAGAAAAATGGACTTCCTCTTGGTGATGGCAATGTGGCGATGCCTGAGAGCAGCTCTGTCCCGGTGCACAGGTGCAGGTCAGCCTTGTTGATCTTGCAAGTCATTGCAAATGTCATCCAGGTGGTTGTTGAAGTCCACGAGTAGGACCTGCTGTGCAGAAGGGACACCGAGATCCTCTGTGTCTCACAGAGTCGTGGTGTGGAGCTCTGCACCTCCGCCTCTTCTCATGGTGCTCATACTCGTGGATCGTTGATGATCCACAGTCCATAGCGAACTTGGTGTTGTTCACCATGATGAGCATGGTGTCCATGAAGCCCTCGGTGACCTGGTTGGGGCTGGCATCCTTTACACATTCATTAGCTTGATAGTAACCAGCAATCACATAACTGTTGTCTTTGCACCATGAATCAGACTGAGGGCCACTTCCAGCATGGGTGCCAGGGCCAGTGTGCTCTAGAAGAGGAATATGCAGTCCGTGAATAGCATGTGGGGACCTCCCAGGCCACCGAGCTGCAGGTGGTCCTTGCGTAGCTTCTGCTTTTCCACCAGGAGCAGGATACTGCCCGGCTGTGGGGCACCTCAATGGGGAAGCGGAGAAGCAGGATGAGATGGCGAGCATCCCTGGCGCGGACCTGGCTGGCAGCCCCCACGAGGCCAGCTATCTCCCGCAACCTTGATGTTTCCGGCCTGACTCAGCTCGAGCTTCTCGCTGCCCACCCCCTGCACGTGGGTTTCTCAGTGTTTGCTGGAAAGCAGTTTGTAAACTCTTTTTTGTCTATCATGGTTTGTTTCGATTAAAGTATACTCTTCAGAAAGGTGTGGGTTTTTTGTTTTGTTTTGTTTTGTTTTTTTTTTTGTGTGTGTGTGCTAGAGACTGAATAAAAGGCCTTACACTAGGTAAGTGCTCTACAACCTCAGCTCTATTTTTTTTTAAATATTTATTTATTTATTTAGTGTGTGTGGCCAGCTCAGCCCACCAGGGGGCGGGGCCGGCTGGCATGTGGTACTGGGGGATTGAACCGTGGTCTCTGTGCTTTGCTTAGCTTAGCTTGTTCTAAGTAGGTGCTTTAGACCACTGAGCCATCTCACCAGCCCAGCTCTATTTTTTTTAAATTGCTGTGTCACTAGTATTTACAGCAGTGCTTGGACACAGTAGATGATTAATAAATAGTTAAGTTGCTAAATTGCCTTGATTGGTGTCTTAGTTACTGTTCTCTCGTTGCTGGGACAAATACCCGACACTCAAAATGAAGGGAGGAAAGGTTTATTTAGCTCACAGTTACTGGAGGGTTCAGTCCATACTCGGCTGGGTCCAAGGCAGAGCAGCACAGAGCAGAAAGCAACCTTTCATGGCGGCGGCAAAGAGCAAGAGCACAAGGGAGGGGTAGCAGCAGCTCAAGCAGCTAGCTTCTCTTCCCACCTTACATTGTAATGCAAATTGCCTGCCCCAGGGTAGGGGAAGTACTCACACCTATGGGTACTTCCCAGTATTTACCCACCTATGGGTAATCCCAGCAGGACTAAAACCCATAATCCCAGCCTTGGATCACACATAATCCCAGTGGATCATGAGTTAACACAAACTCTAGAAGTCCTCACCCCATGACTGCATGAGGCTTTGGGGGGACAACTAGACACAAACCATAACAATTGGGCTCAAACTTGGGATCCTCCTGCCTTAACCTACCAGAGTTCTGGGATTCCAGGCATGTGTCACTACATCTAGCCTATGCTTTCCCTTGAGAAAAAATTTTAAATTTGCCTTCCATCTAATGTATGCAACCAAGAGCCTGACTCCTTTTTACTTGCCGAGGTCCCTTTGCCTTTATGCTGATGAAATTATCCAAGACCAAATTTAAAGGAAATTATCTAAAAAGCTGCCAATGCTCAAAACCTATAGAATTGTCATCATCTCTATTTTTTATTATAAAAATGATATGTAATTACATTCTAGAACATTCTGAAAATAGAGATGAAAAGAAAAAAATCAAAATTTCACTCTCTACCTTAATAACTATTAGTATTTTATCTTTTTTTCTCTTTTAAACTTAGTATTAATTCAATTTAAACAAGGTTGTCTGTGAACTTGGATGTTATAGTGGGTTGAATAGTGTCTTATTTATTTATCTTTTCTTTCCAAGCTGTCCTTGAATTCACTACACAGCTCAGGCTGACCTCAAATGCAAAGCAATCTTCCTGCCTCAGCCTCCTGAGTGCTGGAATTGCAGGCATGAATTTCCACTCTTGACTGCTCTCCGAATTTTATTCCTGCCTGGCACGTGTAAATGTGACTTCACTTGTAAATGTGATCTTTGCAGATGCAAATATGTTAAGATGAGGGCATACTGAATTAAGATGGGCTCTAAATCCAGTATGACTGGTGTGTTTTAAAAGAAGAGGGAAATTTGGACACAGAGACAAGCAGAGAAAGCACCTCAAGGGACAGTAAAGCTCCAAGCCAAGAATTCCAGGGATGGCCCACAAGCAGCAAGCAAGGAGAGGGGTGCAAACAGATTCCCCTTCAGAGTCTCTCAAAGAGACAACCCTGCTGACACTCTGATCTCAACTTTCACCCCCAGAACTGGGAGGGAATAAATTTCTATGATTTGATTTCAAGTCACCCAGTCTGTGGTTCTTTGTTACAGTGGCCCTAGTTCTGTGACTGAATTTTGCAACCCCCCCCAAAAAACACATATGCAATTACTTGAGAATGGGACATTATTTGGAGATATAGATGGTTCCTGTCTTACAAGTTTGTCTTACAATCCTTTGACTTTATAATGGTGCAGAAATGATAGGCATCCATTAGAAATAATGCTATAAATTTTGATCTTTGATCACCTCCCAGGCTAGTGAGTTGTTTTGTGGTAGGATTTGCTCTCAAGGTGGCGGGCGCTGTGGCTCCGGTGCAGCCCCACGGTCACCCTGGGAAACAGCCAGTGGTCAAGAGTGTGCTGTGTTGCTGCGCTCTGATGGTGGGAGCTTAGGTGCGGAAGTGCATTTCTTTTTCTTTTCTTTTTTAAAAATGTATGTAGTACAGGGTCTACAGGGTCTCACTACCCAGATGGGACTCATAGTGATCCTCCTGTTTCAGCCTCCCAAGAGCTGGGATTACAGTTACCACGCCCAGTCTCAGTCACCGGCTCAGTGAACTCCAGGGGTGGGGCCCGTACAGCATACTGGGGCTCGAACCCCGGTCCCTGCATCTGCCTAAGCAGGCACTTTAATCCGCTGAGCTATCTGGCCGGCCCTCAAAAGTGCATTTTTGACTGACAGTATTGCCTACTCCTTACAGCTTCATTTTTTTTTTTAAAAAATATTTAAACACTTATTTTTAAATTTATTTTATTTATATTTTTTTTTTTTTATTTGAGAGAGAGAGAGAGAGAGAGAGAGAGAGA